TTAGATTGATCACTGTCGTGAGAAAGAATGTATCTACAAGTCCAGAATGTCCGTCCTTATATACCTGCCATCCTGTCCTTGTTGTGTTAGGTGGTGAGCTCATGTTGGATGGCTCACTGGTTAGTTGTTGGTGATCCATGATGTTAGGATCACGGTGTGTTATCCCGTGAGCCATTCCCTGGCTCACTGCGGCGTCCTTGGTGAGCCCGACGACTCACCCTTTATGTCTGAGTGAGCCATCACGTGATTTGCCAGGTGGGCCCGATTCTTATCTTATCGCGCTCCCTGATCGCGGGGTCGTCGATTCGCGGCCGCCCTGCTTCCTTGGTTGTTACACTACGTATGGATAAGGCGCTTAGACTACCTCTAGACCTACGGGGGAAGTAGAGTCGGATTTAAGGTCTAGCTAATAGGTTATAAGAGAACTTAAACGCTTATTACTATAGAACGGCTCTATAGAATATTATAAAAACTATACTATTCTATAGCCACGATTTTTCTCTATTTTATAATATATATATCGTTATAGTTTAGCTTTTATTTAAACTACTAGAGTAGTTATAAGACTCTAACCCTTATAACTCCTATAATTAATACCCCTATAACCTTTTAAAATATAATTAATGATATATTATAAGAATTCCTAAACGTCTTCGTAATAATATATTTTAATAATATTCTAATCTTCTCGAAGATAATAGAAGAATATAAAGGATATATCTATTAAGTCTTTATATAATTATATTAATATAAGCTATTAATAGAATTAGAAAAGGCTAAGTTTTATATATAGGAAATAGATTTCTTAAAATATATAATTATTTTAAGAGAAATTAAAATAGAAAAATCTAAAATAATAGCTATTAGGGAATAGCTTATATTAAAGAACGTTAAGGATATTAGAATATTCCTCGGTTTTATTAACTTCTATCGACGATTCTTAAAAGGATATAATAAGATTATTAATCCTTTAATAAGCTTTATAATTAAGGAAATAAAGTTTATATAGAATAAATTCTAAGAAAAGGTATTTTATTAAATTATCGATATTATCTTTAGCGAATTAGTCCTCTAAATAATAGACCCCGAAAAACCTATAGAAGTCGAGATAGATATTTCCGATTTTATTATTAAAGGATAATTAAGATAGAGGGACGATTAAGGATATTTATACTTAATAATATTCTTCTTAAAGAAGCTATATAGATTAGAGCTTAATTATTAGATATATAATAAAGAATTTATAATAATTATTAAAGCTTTTAAAGAATAGAGAATATATTTCTCTAGAATATAATATAAAGTTAAAGTCTATATTAATTATAAGAATTTTATATACTTTATAATATATAAAGACCTTAATAAATATTAAATTAAATAAATAGAATTCCTTTTAAAATTTAATTTTATTATTATCTATTATAAGGGATTTAAGAATAGTAAAGTAGATATTCTAAATAGACGTTTAAATTATAAATAAAATACGCCCTTTAATATTAATACTATCTTAATAAAAGATAAAAAAAGGAACTATATCCTTTATTATTAAATATTAATAATTATTATTTATATAATATTTATTAAATTATTTACGAAAGTATTAGAACTAATTCGATAAGTTTATAAAGCTAAGGCCTATAGGTATTAAGGAGTAATAAAGACTTTTACTCGATTTAAGAAATACTATAACTTTAAAAGAACTAGATAGGATATTATAATAATTATTTATAATTCTAATTTTTATAAAAAGAGTAAAATAAAAAGATATAAGCTTTATAGAGAGCTTAAGGCTTTATTAATATTAATAGTAGCTTAGGAGTTAATCTTATTAGATTTTATTATTAGCTTATTATTATTAAAGGAACCCTTAATTAGGACCTTTTATAATAATATCCTAATAATCGTAGATTAATTTATTAAGTATTTATATTTTCTCTTATATAAAGCTATAAAAATAATAAAAGACTTTATTTATATTTTCCTTAGAAATATTATAGGATAATATAGACTTTTAAAAAAATTAATATTAAATAGAAATAAGCTCTTTATTAATAATTTCTAGAAATTATTTATTATTTAATTTAGAGCTAAATATAAACTATCTATAGCTTTTTATTTATAAATAGATAGATAAATAGAAAGAATGAACTAGACTTTAAAATAATACTTCTAATATTATATTAACTATTAATAAAATAATTAAATTATATTATTATTTATTATATAGTTTATATATAATAGCTTATTAAGTAAATCTATAAAGGAATTACTTTTCTATATTAATTATAAATATAACTTAATAGCTTATATAGAATATTATAAAGTATTAGATATATTAAAAGTAATTAAAATTATAATTAATATCTATAAAATATAGGATTAAATTAAGCTCGACCTCGAGCTTATATATATTAGAATAACTATATACGCTAATAAAATAAGGATAAAAGGATTATCCTTATAGGAGGGAGGTAATATTTACTTTATCTATTAAAATATTAAAATTAAACGATTAAATAATAAATTAGATTTTAAGAAATTAGGATTTTTTAAAATTCTTAAGAAATTCTTAAATATTAATTATTATTTCTTATTATTAAAGAATATAAAGATTTACTTTATTTTTTATATAATATTTTTAGAATTAATATTATTAAATATATTATTTATAATTAATATAGAAATAGAAGATATAAATAAATATAAAATTAAAAGAATTATCGATTATAGAAAAATAAATAAATAAGATAAATACTTTATTAAATAGAAAAACTATAAATATAAAGAAAATATATAAGAATTAATTAAGGTTTAAATTACTTATAATTATTAAAGTAATATTATTAATTTTAAGGAAATTAAGCGATTCTAGGTTAAAGGAGCTTAAAGCGCTTTAATTAATAACCCTAAAACCCTTAATTACTTATATAATTATTATAGCTTTAGACTCCTCCCGCTCTATAGAATCTAACTTATTTAGAGACTATAACCCTTAGTTTATTATTTTTATACCCCTTTTATAAAGAGATCGCTTTTAAGTACGAAAGCGCTTTAAACGATTAAAAGCTTCCGCTATTTAAGACTATAGCTCCTCTAAATATACCTCTTTATTTAGCTCTTTCTTATCTAGCTTACTTAGCTCTTAGGTAATATAAGATATTATTATAAATTAGCGGATTAAGAAAACGAGAGAGATATTATTATAAGTATTTATAAATATTAATAAATACCCCCGAATTATTATAAGAGCGATTACGATAAACGTATTTAGAGTAATAATTAACGCCCTCTATTATATAATATTTCTAACCCTTTTATTAATAGAAGGAATATAATATAATATCGTAATTACGAAGCTTAATAAAATTAAATTATTTTTATCGCTTTTAAATAGATAGGGATTTTAGTTTTTCGATATAATTCGATATTTCGTTAATATTATAAAGGAAGAATAAGTTAAAGGATATAATTACTTAGGGTATAGCGCTTATAAGTAAGGGTCGCTAGGATATTAACTTAGAGGAGGAGAATTATATAATACCTTAGCCCGGTCGTTACTAGGATACTAGGTAGGATACTTTATAGGCGATCGGACGCGCTATATAGACCTATAGGATTACTTATATAACTATAATTAGATTACGATTCTTAAAGTAATCCAGTTATTAATTATACTATAACCTAAGTAATAGGATTATAATAAGAAAGGTAAGCTATCTAATATAGACTTATTAACTTAATATAATAAAGATAGAATAATAAGTATATAAGGATAAGTATTTAATATTTATAGATATATTCTTTCTTATAATAGTAATTAATCTAAGTCTTATTTTATATTTATTATAATAAGTACGTAACGCTTTACGATATTATATCGTCTTAGAATTATAACCTAAGCTTCTATAAATAGTAACCCTAACCCTCTAATAGTATTCCCCTTTCGGAAGCTACTAGGTCGTAATATTATTATAGAAGGAGCCCTAAAATATCTAGCCCTATTTATATAATACCCTTATAATAAAGTAGTTATTCTCTAATTCCTCGTTAAGCTTATATATAATATAGAAATGCTAATAGCTACTACCTATTACTTAGGTCTTATTAGTCTATAATACCTAGTACTAATTATTAACCGACTAATTAGAATAGGCTTTAGCCTAGGTAAGCTACTTTTACTAATTAACCTCTAAAATAGGGGGCTTCTAGGTAGCTAGATATCTACTAAAGCCCTATTTTCGGAGGTAGTTATAGATAACGTAAATACTAAATTAGCTATTAAAAAGCTAAGATATAAGCTCTTTAAAGGTTATATGCCTACCTTCTACGGATCCTATAATATATTTAACTAATAAGAGGACTTCTTTATTACTTATTTTTCTAAGGTCGACTAGTTCTATAGGTGATTTTTACGGAAGCTACTATAATTGCCCTCTAGACTTACTATAACGAATAGCTTATATAGGCTGCAATAGCGCTATAGGATAGCTAGGTATTAGTATAGAGGGTTCTAATCCGCTAGCGTTCTAGCGTTATAAGGTGCTCCTTCCTTATTAGGAAGTGAAAAAATGAAACAAAAGTAAGGTACAAAGGAATTTCAGTTTCCTGAGGAAGGGACGTGCTTTTTATACCTTCCTGCCAAGACCCACAGGCAGGGGTCGCAGTTACCTCGGAGGGTATCGAAACTTATGCCCCTAACCATGTAGTCCTCGAGAACCGAGGAACCAAATGCTCGACACAGAACACAAGCGTCATGCCGGTCATGCAATGAGTTCACGTCTTCACCATTGTGCCGGACTGTCTATACACGCCATCTGGACGTAGAATATGAATGAAAAACAGTACAAGAGGAGCCGGAAGAACATGCGAGGGCCCAAAGGACCCGAGGTATCGTACAAGTACAGAACAGGGGGCGTCGCCGCGTCCCGCCTCAACGCCATGATGCAGTCGGGCATGGGCCCGAGGATGAAAGAAGAAAAATTAAGATAAAAAAATACACTCTAGTGCTGTGCGCCGCCCGTGCTGCTCGTCGACTCCGTCTGTGCCTTCGCTGTCGCTGGGCACTCCACCTCGTGCCCCTCCTCCTGAATGCTGACGTGTCCCGACGTCGAGTCTGTCGCGAGATGCAGTCTCTGCTCTCGCCCGCCAGGCCCGCGTCCGAGCGGTTCCTCCTGGGGTCATTGGGCGTCCAGTTGGCTGCCACACCGGCGACAATGAGGCCAGCCATGACAGTCGGCGCGCCGAGCGCCGAGTTGGACCTGCTACGGTTGCTTCGCGAGCGCCTCCGTGACTCGGGCGTCGGTGCCGGGGGTGCCTCGCTGATGCTGGCCTGTCGGGGCGGTGTGACGGGCGGCGCCGGGTGGATGACCGAGTTGGACCGCGAGTGCGTTGGGCTTCTCGAGTACGTCACAAACGTCTCGCGAGGGTGCTGGACCGCAAACTTGAGGTTGTTCAAGCGTCCGCCCTTCATACGCTTGAGGAACGTCAGTTCGTCCCGCACGTCCGCCAGCGCTTCTGGGTACTGGCCAAACTCCTCGTCATCCACCGTGAGCTTGGGCCCGCTCTCCTTGGACTTGCGTTTGAGGTAGTCCGGGATGAGGCGCTCGACAAACTCGTCGGGGATGAGACGGATGACGATACCGAACGGAATAGAGAGAAACCCGAGGACAATGGCGATGCCCCACATCAGGGCCGTCTGCTTGTCGGGAGCAATTGACAAAGCAGCGCCACCCACAAAGATGATCAAAATCTGTCCGCCGATCATAATCGAGCTGATAGCAACGAAAAAGTAATTTTGCGTAAGACCTTCAAAGATGTTGAAGCGATTGTCGAGGCGGCGATTGCTGGAGGCGGTCAGTCATCTCAATATCATGATACGTGGGGTTTGATCAAGGACTTACTTCCACTGGTTGAAGATTTGCATCCACACAAACGTGTTGAACACGAGAGTACGGACCTGAGCTTCAAACCTCTCTGGAGACAGGTTCATCTCATTCTTCACAAGGTCCAGATGATCGTAGCCATAGAAGAGCATGAATGTAATGGCGAGCTGGTAGATAGCTTGGCCGATGATCATCTTCCACATCGTCGTAGAGATGATCGAGGCGTTGCGTCTCTCGGGCTTCCTCAAGAGAACGCTCTTCTGGGGCGGGTCCGTGGCCAGGGCGAGAGCAGCGAGAGTATCCATGATGAGGTTGACCCACAACAGCTGTACCGCTGTGAGGACCGACACAGCACCTTCGCCTCCGTTGCTGGAGACAGACGTAACGAATGTGAGCACGACGGCCGTAATGTTGACCGTGAGCTGGAACTGGAGGAAACGTTTAACGGCGTCGTTGACCGCACGTCCCCACATGAGAGCCTTGACGATCGAGTTGAAGTTGTCGTCCATGAGAATGATTGCGGAAGCCTCCTTGGCCACTTCGGTGCCCGCGATGCCCATGGAGAATCCGACATCTGCCGTCTTGAGAGCTGGCGCATCGTTCGTGCCATCACCTGTGACGGCGACAATCTCGCCCTGTTCTTTCAGGCGCTTAACCAGGATGCGCTTGTCCTCGGGGCTTGAACGGGCGAGAACGTGAAGTCGAGGGAGAATCTCCATTTGTTCGTACTTTGCCAGGTTGCGGAATTCTGGACCCTCCATGACAACACTGTGAGGCTGCAGAATGCCGCACTCCTTGGCGATGGCTTGAGCAGTGATCTTGTTGTCTCCTGTAACCATGCGGACGCAGACACCGGCGCCCTGGCACGTGCGGACAGCCTCGGGGACGCCTTCACGCAGAGGGTCCTGAATGCCTACCATGCCGACGAAGACCATGTTCCGGAATAGGTCCTCAAAGTGAATCTCGTTCTTGTCTGCGTCACCGCGACGGGCGGTTCGAGGGGGCCATTGGGGAAAGTCTTTGTAGGCAAGGCCAATCGTACGGAGGGAGCGCGAGGCGTAGCTCTCAATGAGGCCGTTCACCATCTTGTGGTTGTCGACAGTCATGGACACAAGCGAGGCATCGGTCGACGGTTGTCCGAAAAGCTCGCTGCACTGGGCGACGACAATCTCGGAGGCACCCTTGACAAACAGTCGAGCGCCACCACCCGGGAGTTGGATAACAATGCCCATGCATTTGCGACCAGAGTCAAAGGGGATAAGCTGAAGGGTTTGCGCGTTGGCGCGCTCCTCGCTGACCGGACCCATGCCGAGATGAGCCTGGGCCAGCAGAAGCAGGGCACTCTCCGTCTTGAAACCGATGAATGTCTTCTCGCCATCAACCTCGCCCTCAAAGGCAGTCGAGTTCAGGACGATCGACTTGAGAAGGAGATCCTTGACCTCGGGACCCAGCATCTTGACGAACTCGGGAATCTGGATGTCACCGCCCTGCTCGACGGCAGAGCTGCCGAGAGCACTGCCTGAGCTTCCAGGGCGCTGGCCGCCGAACTGATGCGTAGTCCCGATCGTGCCAGCCACCACCTGCATCTTGTTTTGGGTCAGCGTTCCCGTCTTGTCAGAACAGATGTTCGTCGCGTTGCCCATGACTTCGCATGCCTTGAGATGCCTGACGAGGTTGTTGTCCTTCAACATTCGTCTCGTCGCGAAAGCCAGGGCAAGTGTGACGGCGAGAGGCAGTCCCTCGGGAACAGCGACGACAATGATGGTGACGACAACGATGAAGATTTCAAGGAACATTTGACCCTTGTCAGCCGGGGTGACGTCGCTACCGAGACGGGGCAGCCGCACAAGGAACCGGATGAAGAGGACGATGAACAGGAGCAGACCGGCGGCACCTCCAAGCTTGGCGATGTACTCGGCGATGATGTTCAGTTTGGACTGAAGGGGTGTGACTTCGGGATCCTCGTTGAGTGCCATGAGCGTCTGGCCGTAGGTAGAGTTCACACCAGTCGAGGTGACCATGAGGTGCCAACACCTTCCATGACACGGGCGCCAGAGAGGATGAAGGGGTCCATCTTCTTGACATCTTCGTGGTTCTCAATGGCGGCAAATACGTCAGCAGCCGCCTTCTTCTTGATGATGTCGGACTCTCCGGTCGCCTGAGATTCGTCGCATTTGACATTGAAGCCCTCAATGAGCAGGCCATCAACTGGAACCAAGTCACCTGGTTCCAGGTGAACGACGTCACCCACCAGAATATCGTATACGGAGATTTCCATAATCTTTCCGGAACGAACAACCTTGACATCGCGGTCTTGCTTCTTCTTGTTGAGCTTGGCAAACTGTCGCTCCTTGGAATAGTCGTTCAAGGACCCAACAACGACCACAATGACAATGGCAGCCACAATGGCCACGCCCTCCACCCACTCGACCCTGGACTCGCCCTCTTTGTGTTCGCCGCCTACTGATTGGTAAATGCCGATGGCGAGGGAGACGACAGCAGCAGCAGTCAAAAGCATCAGAACCTTGTCTTGGTATGTGATCCACATGAGCTGCAAAAGACTCTTGCCCTTCTTCTCCGGAAGGCGGTTGTCCTTGAAAACGCGCTTCCTGTCGACAAAGCTGCCGTCCCCGCCCGCGGCGGGATGAGGACGCGCAGAGGCCGCAGAAACATCCTCCTTGTGACTGCCGTCTGACTTGATTGCCAGGTGGCTCGTGGCCTGCTCATACGTGACGTGCTGAGGGACAGTGTTCTCTTCGATACTGAGGCCTGCTTTCCGATCGCTCTGGACACCCTTTTCAAGGCCAGCCAGGCCGCCAATTCTGTAGAAGGCGGCCAGGCTCTTGGGGTTGAGAAGCTTACTCAGTTGACCAGGACTGAACGCGAAGGGGTTGTTGTCGACTTGGAAATCGCCCTCCTTCCCTTGGTCCGGCTGCAGCGCAGTGTCGTCTTTCATCAGCTTGTCGTTGGAGAGGTGGTGGCTGTGGAAGCCGGTCTTTTCAGCGTTCGAGCCCGACACAGCGAGAGTATCGCCTTGCGAGGAGACGAAAGACCGAGAGGTATCCAGGTCGTCGTCGACAGAGTTTCGTCGTGAACGGGCGGTCGTCGGCACGGAGAGAAAGGCGCGATCGTTTCCTCTGGCAGTGATGGGGCTTGAAACGTTGTGTGGGCTCCGGGGCCGGCTATCTCTGCTGTCGAAGGAGGTTTCGGCGCGGAGCTCGGGGCGGGCATGGGGGTCCTGGGCGGCGAGCATGTTCTGTGAAGCGATCCATTGCGCAGCGGCCGGGTCGACAACGGTGGAAGGACTGATAGCATCTTCCTGAGGGGAGGTAGGACTGGCACCAAGATTCGCTCGCGCGTCGTGAGGCACATCGGGAGTCGAGGTCGCGGCCGTGGTGTCAATGGTGATTGTTGGTCTGTACACCCGTTAGTAGGACTAGCACTGCGTACGGCGCGACGGCCACAGCTGAGGGTTGACAAGGCTCTTGTCACACATACGCGCGAGGTCTGCGCTGAGCAGGAGCAGGGTGGTCCTGCGCGTCGCGATTGGGGTCCATGATGGCGGTTTATTAGTGTTGGACGAGTGCGAGGCGTGCGCTGTGGTGCGCTGGGATCGAGTTCGAAGAGGAACAATCGAAGAGGAGCAATACAAGATATATCGGAAAAGTAAAAGTAAAGAATGTTGTTGTGAGGTTCAGAATGGCATGGAACGAGGCAGCGAGAGGTGCTCAAGTGCCATGGAGGATGGTGAATAAGGGTCCGCAGATGTTGGCGAGCGTCATGAACGGTACCGAGCTGCTTCTGCTCTGCTGGTTATGATTGTGAGAAGGAGTGTGATGAAGTCAAGTAACGTAGAGTGAAGCGGTGGGTGCAGGGCGGTTGTCGAAGGCACACGCGCACAAACATGGATCAAGCCAGCAGGGGCGGCGGGCCAAGGGAGGGGGTTTTGGATTAGATGTCAAGAGGAGAAAGCAGCAGAAGGAGAAAAAAACACGACATCGAACACAAATGCCGAGAATAGCAAGCAGCGGAAGTTTGCTTCCTGCGACATGCATTATTTTACCTTTGCCTTCGCTACCTTTTTACGTACGTAGGTACCTTGCTTGGTAGGTGACCTTGAGGTAAGGTGCGTGGCTACCTGGACCTTGCTTGCCTGCCTTCTGGAGATACCTACCCAGGTAGGTACCTAGGTACATGTATCTACGCTCAGGACCACGCCTCGCACACCTAAGGTACCCACCTATACCTAAGGTACCTTCTTGTACCTAGGTAGGTACCTTCCCTTAGCAAGCCTTAGATATGATGAGCGTTGAGGCTCCTTGGGCGCGTCTCCCCCCAGTGAGGCAGTGCAACTGCTGAGGCAGGGTCTCTCACTGGCCACGGCTCTCGCGAACGGGGCAAATGGGGGCCCATCCGAGGGAAGGGCTAGGGAAGATTCGAGGAAGGCGCCAGGGGTACGGCAGCTTGGGCAGGAGCTGATGGCACCTCGGCCGTGGAGGCTAGCACTGTTGGGGCGTAGTGGCCGCAGGGGCCTCGGTGCTTGACATATGCAGGGGCGCGGGTAGATCGCTATTCGGCCACTGACTTCTACTGTACTGTACTGTACTTACTGTACTGTACCTGTACATCAGAGCCCTACCTACATGTTTGCCGTACCTACCTAGTAGGTCTTAGGTACCTACCTAGGTACAGGCAGGCAAAGGACCTTCTCCAGTGCTGCCTCGTGTCTCCCCCGTCGCCCGCCAGTCTCCCACCGCATCCATCCTGCTCGAGACATCAATGTCGTCAAGCACCGGGCGGGGCATACCATGGCACGACAAGACAAAGAGATAAATGCACAACATCGAGCGGGCATCATGCCAATCGCCAGTTGCCTCAGCTACGCGCCCTATCCGCTCCTCTTTCTGACCTTCTCGAGAGGTACCCCGGAATGCGACTGTGGGCGGATGGGGCGGGCATGCGCTCCGTCTGCTGCCGTTGGTCCTTGGTGCCTCGTGTTCCCGCATGGCTACCGCTGTTTGTAAACCATATTCACCTGTTTGTTGTGCAAGTATAAGCCTTTTCACCTCGGCTTGCTTGGTACAGGTACCCAGCGAGCGAGCAAGCAGGGGGGGTTCAGAGTGAGCTACATGGTACAAGTACGCAAAATGGTCTCAACACGAAGCTCCCAGGCACTGGGCTGGCCCAGCCTGGTCAGGCCAACAATGACATGGTTTTCTCGCCTTCTTCCAGCCGTCTTGGTTTGCATCTGATGGCCAAGCTTCCTCTCTCCCTCCCTCCCTCCCTCCCTCCCTCCCTCCCTTCGTCTCATTACAATCGCCTTGTTGACAATACCTCCAGGGCCGACAAATCTCCACCCCGTCTAGAAACAACCAGGCCCAGCGAACTTGGAACATTGGCCAACCAAACCGACAAGGGACGCTCATCTCGTTTCTTGGCATGATCTCCGTGCCATGCCAAGCTCCACCCCTGGCCCATCCCCCCGAGCACTGCAAAATTGACCGCGGCAGACAAGGGAGTGAACGGCTGTTCGGAACTGCCAATTTGACACCAAGATTGGTCAATGGGCACGTGTCTACGTACGTACTCCTCAGGAGGCCTTGGGAGGACCGACGTGAGCTGTCATCAATCAGGCGTGAAGAAGAAGCAAACCGCGAATCCAGCTCCAATCATGTTCGCTGAGAGCCCCTTGGGACGAAAACTGCCCAGCACACACAGAAAAGATGGAGCGAAACAAGACGAGTGCCACGCCCCCTTTAGCCCCAAAGACGGGCGCTTCACACCAAGCGCCTCAAACCGCCCGACTCTGGCGCCTGAGCCACTCGCCCTGTCCAAGGGTGACGGGTTGTTTGGTACGAAACGGGACCTCGTCTTCAGCACGGCAAAGCTTCAATGCGTCTGTGCCTCCCAGTGTTATTCCCGCCCGTCTCAACCTGTCGGATCTGCACTGCATTTTGCCTATCCGCGCTTCCATCCTCGTTTGGGGTTGCCTTATTGCGAAACCGGCCGAGCTCTTGGCTCGGTTTGGCTTGCCTCAGTGGGTTGCATCTGTCGTGATATCAATCGTGGTGTCCATCGGCGTCTTTGGAACATGTGTGTCGCACTGTAGATTTGGTCTTGGAGGCTGAGTGGCTCGACGAAACTCTACGTGCGCCGTGGAAGACACGATCCGATGGTTTTCGTCGGTATCAGGACCGTACAAGCTTGCAAGGCAAACTCAAGATCAGGTTAGCCCGTCTGAAATGAGCGACAACTTGCGTGGCATGTTTCTGGACGTAGACTTTGGTTCGACAAAATTGACAGCCATGGGGCGAGGTGATCCCAATCGGAATGATATCATGCGCAACATGCAGAGTGCGCCTTGGTGCTGCGTTGGTGCTGGGGTGCTCCCACTTTGGTAGCGACCCTCGTATGCCCCAAGGCCCCATGCCCATGAGCTTGATTCGCGCACAAGGCAAGGGAGAAGCCTGGCTAGGTACTTTCATGACATCCGATGATATCTCCTAGGGTCTGTTATTTTCTGGTCTCATCCTATCGTTGTGTCATGAGCACCCGCGATTGAGAAGGTATGGATGCTTTCGATCGATCAAGTATCGAAGGCTGATCTCAGGCATTGATATGGCCTTCTTGTAATTGAAGAACCATCGACACTCTGAGGCTGATAGAGCACTGTTCGTTGTATCAAGTTGTCCAGTGGTCCGCACAGCTGCTTCCTTCGAGGGGGCCATCGGCAGGATGGACACAGCCCCATCCAGTAGCCATGTTCAGACCACATGCGCAGCATATCATGCTATTGTCACGAGGCTCTCGACAGTTTCAACTGCGTGAGACCCTCAGTTGCATGTCCGCAAGCCAAGCCACCCAATGTAAGTTCACGAAGCGTCATGCGGGGTGCTTCACCACACTCAGTCACAAGACATGATCAAACGTGACAGTCCTATGATCGCACGCGAGTGTCGCGAGCTGTGACACGGGAGCATGAAAACACCAGTCTGAAGCATTACCGTCTAACCCTGGCCTGCAAGCCTCTCTCGCCGTGCTTCATCCAGAACGCAAGAACACAAAACTTTTTGCCCCATAGTTGACCATTTTGATAACCCGGAACACCATCCAAACCCCATGTCCCATGCAGACACACGCGCCAGAGACTGAGCGGGCCAAAGATCACCTCCGACCCAGATCAACCTCCCTCACAAGTTCCATCGTGCCCTCCCCCTCTCCGGCGGCGGGAGTCTCGACGCCGAAGAACCCCGCCACAGCCGTCCGCACGACGCCCCGCCAGAAGCCAGCCACGACCTGCCCCGTCCGGCCGTCGCCGCTCTGCTTAAAGTCCGGGAAAGGCGTTGACCTCAAGCAGCCAGGCCTCGCCCGCGGCATCGGACGAGGAAGTCGAGCCCGTACACTTCGAACGCGCCGGGCAGCGGCTGAAAAGTGCACCGGTCATTGCCGCGCGCCGGCGCCCTCGAAGG